ACACATAGACAGCGCCCTCGTGGGGTTTGGGGGCAACGTCCCCCGACGGTGATCGACCTCTAGATCCAACATTTTATCAAATGGTTAAGCAGAAGGGCAAATTTTGACAACCAAATTAGGAGAAACGCAATATATATAAATACACAAACCATTCGGCTATGTAAGTATGAATTTGTATGTATATATTATCTACTTACAAGAGTTGAGAGTGGTCATATGGTGGATGGAGTGGAGTTGGAGCTGGAGCTGCTGGTCACAATCAGATCAATTCAGAACCATAAGAAAGTTCATCAGATTCAAAAAATCTTTTAAACCCTCCAAAATACATCCTCTTCAATTGACCATCTTATTTCCTTCTCTCTCTCCACAACCTTTCTAATTGTCTTGGGACAATTTTAGACTAATAAAAGAAAATGTATCTCATTGTAAAAAAAAAAAAAAATTGTCTCCGTGCTGCACAGAGACACAGGTCTCCGTCTCCATATGCGCACGGAGACACCCTGTCTTAGTGCGGCACGGAGAAGGTCTCTGTGCAGGATAGAGAAATTTTTTTTTCTCCTCCCAATATTTTATCACGGTGAGTTTTAAAAATCGATCATCAATTAAGTGTATATGATTACCAAAGCTCGACATATTTATTACAAACATAATGGTGAATTTAATGATGGACATCAATTAGCACCATGGGTGTACATCAATAATGTACAGCAACCTCCACGTATCAGTTGTAACATTTCCATTACTGAGAGGAGGGAGATTTAAGTCACATATAAAACATTGGAACGTCCAATGCTCAAATCAAGCTATCTAACTAAAAGCAAATTATATAATATTTGATTTAAAACAAAAGAATTCAACATTTTCCAAGGGACACCCAAACAAATTATAGCTTCGCTGAAATTTCAAATTCAAAATTTGCCTGGGCAATGAAGTAATGGTATTACACACGGCGTAACACACATTTGTTGCTCCACTCGGGTATCCTACACCCATTGTAGCTCTGCATTCCTGGACCATTTTAAATTATTATATAAAAAGAAAAATACATCAGTAAAATTAACAAGAAATTAAAATTGGAACGAAATCGAAATCGAAGTTTCCAGAGAAATTGGAATTGCACTCACCAAATATTACGGTAAACTGTAAAGGAATGGCGATGAAGAATCGATATTTTGTGGGGGTTTTGAAATCTGATTCGGAATCGGAATCAGGATGGAAATTGTAATTCTATGGTGGAAGGTAAATGTCGTTAACAAAAGGGGGAAATGCTTGCTAAAATGGAAGATGGAATGAGTTGCGTGAAGAGGAGGAGGAGACGAAGGAGGGAAATGCGTGTGAAAATGGAAGATGAGATGGGATGTATTGCGTGAAGAGGAGGAGGAGATGCGCAAGGGGAAAAAAAAGCATTTTTGACGACGATTGGAAATGGCGACATTTGTCTGCCTTTACTTTGGCTCTTTTAATATGCAGTGATATAAATGATCATTTGCAAGTTCGGGTATGAAGTAAGATAGGAAGCGCATATGGTACAACTATGCCCAAGACAACTCGACTATCCATATGGTTTAGTATTATTACAATTGTGCTTTGACATTCTTGTAACCTTGCCTGATGCCCAAAACAAAATTTTTAAGGAGCTTTAAAAATTAACAATACTACAAGTGCAGAATTTTTTTCACAGAAATCATAAAGATGGACACTTGACCAATTATCATTGAAAGATGACAAAACATAAAAATAAAAATCACCTATACTGTTGCTGCGTACAGTTTAATGTCTAATTTTTCGTGAATAATTAGGATTAAATTAGTTATACAAACTTGGGGAGTACATTAAATTTGACATTCCAAGTATTGTCAAAATCCGTGTCATTGATTGTCTTGTTGGGAAAAATCGCTTCGACCACAGGAATTGAGATTAATGACGAATTGAAACAAGAAAAATAACAAGATTAAAGTAAAGAAAATAGAGGAGAAATTGT